TGATTCGGTTGCTTTTAAGCGAGGACGACTTGTCCGTTTTGTATGTATTCGTGTTGGAAGTAGATAAATTTCAACACTAAAAACAATTAAATTAATTAATTATAATTAGGAAATAGATAAATTTCAACACTAAAAAAATAAATTAATTAATTATAATTGGAAATAGATAAATTTCAACACTAAAAAAATAATTAAATTAATTATAATTGGAAGTAGATAAATTTCAACACTAAAAAAATAATTAAATTAATTAATTATAACTAAAAAAAACTTATATTTAATTAGATAAAAACAATAACATGCAAATATTATAATAATAAATATATTATGGTAATTTTTTAGAGAAAAAAAAAGAGGAAAACATACTTTCGACAATTTTCATGATTAATTTGAACACGTCTTAATCGTGCTGATCTAACACCATTATTTCGAAGAGATGAATCACAATATGCAAGTAAATGTTGAACTTGTTCCGAGAGATGTATAAAAAATGGAAATTTTAATTGAGCAATATAATAGAGGAGATGAAGGAACCCGTGAAATGATAAGCCTAAAAAAAAAAAAAAAAAAATTAACATTTGATAATTTCAATTTAACTGTATAATCATTAATTAGTATACTATGGAAAATTTCAATTCTATAACTAGATATACTATAAATTACTTGATTACTTGAATATACTATTAATTATTTGGTTATTGATTATTTTAATTTGTAAAAATTGTTATCAATTAAATGGTTGAAAATTGGGAATTGTGAAATTTTTTTAAAAAAAATTTTAGAACTATTTAAAATAACCATAACCTATATATATACATATATATATATAATTGATTAATCTGAATTAAATATTATAAATTAATTTTATATGCCATTAAATGATATTATCAATTGAAAATAATATTCCATTAATTGATAACGCTTCATTAGCAATACTTTTTTCCCTAATATTGCTATTTATTTGCTTAATTTAGGAATTATGGAAGAGTTATAAAATTATGCTAAAACAAACCGGAAACATATGGAATATATTCGTTTACTGTAAAGTATTTATAAATTTTCATAAATTTTAATTCCATTTCTTCCACTGTTATTACATCCAATAAATTGCATTTTCTGTAAAAGAAATAAAAAAAAACATGTAAATATAAAGAATTGAAAAAATTTTATAAATAAACAACTATCATACTTACTTTAATTTTTTAATTTTAAAACTATGTAATAAGTATTTATTTAATTTATTATACCAATACACCATCCTGTATTTAACTTTCATCACCTGAGATATGCAAATCAATTTACTCTTCTCGAGATATCTTAATGAAATGTTGTATGTATCAATTTCATTTCTTGAGATTTATCATTTTTGCAATATTTTAATTCTCATTTCATGCGATATTTCAGTGTCCTTTTCTTACAATGTGTCAACTGTCTTTGCATAGATTATTTCAACTTCCTTTTTTTTTTTTTGAGCTTATGCTCATGTCATTCTTCTTATTTTCTTAAAGTTAACAAGTTTTGATTGTGACAATCATTTCCAACTTTTTTTTCTCTTTGTAATTTGTGCAGCATTACATTGATCGTGATTTTAAGAGGAAATTATTGTAATTTAATAAACAAAAGTCTTTTTTTTTCTTCCTTCATTTCTTATAAGAGATTAATATAAATAATTTGAGTTATTACAAAAATGGTAATAAATCCTGAATTGTAGTAAAATTATTTTTCTAAGAAATTTTTTTTTAATTTATATCGAACTTTTTTCTTTTTTTGTCAATTTGTGACAAGTATTTCATTTAGTAATACTTTGCAAATGATTAATTAATATATATTTAAATTT